ATAGATATTTATAATCAAGACTAAAAAAGCATTTGTTAAGGATTGCCTTCGATTGTTCAACTGAAACATCACTAGTTCAACTTTTTAATTTTCCTTAGTCCAACTGTTTTTAATATTCTTTTGTTGTTTCTGCATTTTTTTTCCTACTTGCTTTGATTCTGTTTTATTTTCCTATATTTTAATCATGTAAAGCACTTTGCATTGTCTTTGTACTGAATTGTGCTATACAAATAAATTTGCCTTGCCTTGCCTTGCCTTCTGCATGGATTCTCCATGTTCTCCCTGAGCATGCGTGGATTCTCTCTGGGTACTCCGGCTTCCTCCCTCAGTCCAAAAACACGACTGTTAGGTTAATTGGCTTCTCTAGATTCTCCTCAGGTGTGAATGGTTGTTTGTTTGTCCTGTGTGTCTCTGTGTTGCCCTGCGATGGACTGATGGACTGGAGACGTGTCCAGGTTGGACCCCGCCTCTCCCCCATAGACAGCTGGAGATAGGCACCAGCACCCCTCACCACCCCAGCAGGGTGACAGAAAATGGATGGATGGCAATGAAATTGGAAAATTTTATATATATTTCTGAAGACTTAAGTACTTTTCAATGCGTGTACTTTTGAACACAGAAGTATTTTCAAAAGTGTGTCCTTCATTTTTTGTTGCAGTTGAGTAAGATTTGAATACGTGTATCAATACTTTTATTGAAATACTACTGTTGAGTACTTCCTGTACACTGAGTAAGAGCAGGTTATCACCTGAACAATTAAAATTAAACAGATAATATCAATATTAGTAAAAAAGGTTGGTTTGACATTTTAAGATGTATGAAGCTATTTCTAAATGAACTCTGTGATGCAGCTGGATGGAAAGGTGAGTTACATTTGATATGAAATGGTTGGAGTCTTTTCTGATAAAAGTAAAACATTTTAAACTAAATTGGATCAAAAGATAGCATTATTAGTCATAAAATATTAAGAGTCATGTTCCTCTGCTTCATAAACAGTCATAAAAAATGGAATCGAATGTAGTGGTAATGTATGTCCAACTTTTTTTTTTTTTCTTCAGGCTTACTGTTAGCTTACCTGCTAGAAATACAAAAACAATCACTGCTGTTTGATCTTTCTATAACTATTATTAGATGTTTCCTTTGGTTCTGATTTCTTCTTGTCTGAGTCATGAACAGGACCAGCTCCAGGTGTGTCCACATGTTTGCGGGCCCCAGCTGACCTGGGGGCTCCCAATCAAATTTGAAATTACCAACAAATATACATGAATGAAACTTAATACTAATAGATATATAAAGTTATAATTGAAGGCTAGTCATTTTTTTGCATCTTATGCAAAATGATTTTACTGTTTCAACAAAGCAGCTTCTTTATGTTGACCTTTATTCTTCTTTAGCTTTGCTGCTTAAATTAAAACCATCCAATCTGAAAACAGCAAAGGAAAAATGCACAGGCTCCAAAATGTTGACATTGAATATTAAAGAAAACGGAATAAAATGACCTTATTTGATCCGGTGGTATGTCACAGTTTTATTATAGGTGCTCAGTTTTATAACTTAAAAAACAATTATTTAATCTAAAAACAGACTTTGGTAAATGAAGCAATGGGACAGATGTCAAGCACAGCAGTCTGCTGTATTCAGTTTAAGAAACTGACAGCTCATAATAAGCAAACTAAAACAGCTTAAAATACAGAATAGAAAAAACACCAATGATGCAGAAATGCAGCTTAATGGTGGCCGTCAGGCTAAATAGAGCTGTGCTCCAAATTTCTATTCTGCTCATTTTCTTTGGCTTGGCTCTGCTTATAATGACTTTGGAGGAATTCAGTTTGTTTGAGGCTTTTTCAATCTTTATTAGGCCCACGTTGTTAAAATATTTTAGCTATAGTCAAGTGAGACAAACAGTCAATAAAGGTGTGCATTATAAAAAACAAAAGTGGGAATGGTGTGTGAAGTAAGGAAGCTGAGACAGAGAAATTTCTTGCAAGAAAAAGGGTTCAAATTTATTTAACGTCCTCAGATGGAAAATCCCAAAACACCCCCCCCCCAGGGAAACTAACCCACCCCCTGCATAAAGAACTTTCTAACAGTTGAACATTTGGAGTATAAAACAATTCAATTCAGTTTATTTCTATAGCTCCAATTCACATCATGTCATCTCAGGTCACTTTATAGATCCACCAGATCATCCAGTCAGATTGATTCAAAGTTTTCTATCTAAGGAAAACCAGCTGATTGCATCGACTCATTGACTCTTCAGCAATCCCTCACACTAAGCATGCTTGTAGCGACAGTGGAGAGGAAAAACTCCCTTTGAACAGGAAGAAACCTCCAGCAGCACCAGGCTCAGAGTGAGCGGCCATCTGCTGAAGCTGATTAGGGTTCAACAACTTCAGTTCATCGAGGCCGTTCCCTGTCAGGTTAATCTATCTTCCTCTGGTCAGATGGATCTCCTAATAGCAGCAGTCCTCCCCTTCATGCCAGGAAGGAGGCTGTGACTCATTCTTATCTCTCATGACCTTCGTTTGGAGCCTGTGAGGCTAACAACAGACAAACCTCAACATTTTTTACTCCACAGCTGGCCTAATGGTTAGGGCAAAGAGCTTGGAATCCTGAGGTTGTGAGTTTGAAACCCACTCCCTCAGACTGCCACTCTGAGCAAAGACCCTTAACCCCACACTGCTCCCTGAGTGCCACACAATGGCAGCCCACTGCTCCCCAAGGGGAGGGGTTAGATGCAGAGAGTTAATTTCTCCATAGTGAGATCACTAAAGTTCAATTATTTACTATTTATTCATTCATTGGATTTGATGTAACATTTTAAAACTATCCACTGTGGGATACACACAGATACATTTACTTAGAAGTAGGTTTTTATTTGTGTTTGAGTAAAAATATGATAACTACTCTTGAATAAAATTTCTGCCCCCTCCATCTAGTTTGTTCTAAACAAATATGCACCTTTATTATTTTTTGCATTCAAGGCTTGATGGTTAAATGTGTTTTTTTTTTTTTTTCTGTCGAGTCATTTGGAGATGAAGTGAAAATATGGTAAACAGTAGATGTGTCAAAAGTTTTTCATGTTTATTACTCCAGTATAAATCCTACTGTTTAAAAACACTTTTGTAGAAGTTAGAGGATCAACTTCAGCTTTTTACGATAGTGAAAGTGTAAAAGTACAATTTTTAAAACTACTTAAAGTATTAAAGCTTTACTGCTCTACCCAATTAATGGATAAATTCCTTAGACCTCATTTTCTTAGTTGTATCACTAATGGTGTCAAATTTTACTTTGCATCATCTTGAAAAACTATCTATTTTGGTATGTGGTGAGCAACAAGTTGGGGCAGCACCAAGTCCAACCACAAAGAAATTAATTGTCTGGATAAAACTAATTATTGTGATGTTTTTTAATTTTATTTTTAAATACCAACAGGCCATAACCAAAATGAGCTTAAATGAAAGAAAACTAATGACTATTTAAAAAAAAAATGTAAGGAGTTCAAAGTGGAGATAACTGCAAAAAAATGTTAGAAGCAGAAGTGAAAAGTTTTCTAAACAATAATTACTTCAGTAAAGTATAGGTAACCACAATTTCTGACTTTTTACTAAAGTAAAAAAAGATGAAGTAGTATTTTGGATACTCTATCCACCTCTGGCTAAAGTTTATGCTCAAACTGTTGCTTGATAACCGATTTCTCCTTTCTTGTTTGAAACTAGCATAGCCGAAGTGCTGAAATTTCCCAGCAAACCGGGAGTCCGTGAAGTGGTCTAAAAGTTCGTCAACAAGCCGCCAGGCTGAACCCGGAGTTCTTCCTCCTCGGACCGGACCGCCTGTTACCGCTTCATCGATCCACAACTCGGTGAAGACCGACCCGTCCTATCGGTCTGTGGCTGTTTTTGGTGTACGGAGAGTCGGAGCCTCGAAGCTGGGAGCTCCCGGTTGGTTGATCTCAGAGTTTGGTGGCTCGGTTGGAGATAATGAAGAGGAGCGCTTCCATGCGGCCAGGATTATCGGCGCGTGTAACAAAAGACCCGCTCACCTCCTCCTCTTCCTCCGCTCTCCCGCTGCTCTGTCGGTCTTCCTAACCGGGGTTCTGCTTCAGCTCCAGGCTTTTATTTAAGACGTTTATCGGCGCTTTGGGGGTAACGGCCGTGACCCGGTTTCGCTCTTTCTTTCAGAGTGGAAGCGGAGCGAAGAGATGCCGCTGCTCCACAGAAAACCCTTCGTCCGGCAGAAACCTCCGGCGGACCTGCGGCCGGAGGAAGAAGTGTTTCTCTGTAAAATCACCCATGAAGTCTTCAGGACCTACGAGTAAGTCACTGCTTCCACTCTGAAAAGCGTTTAAACTAACTTTAGAGTGTTCATTAACGGACAGACAAACTTCCACACAAACTAACTATTTTTATTATAAATAAAACTAGAATTAAACTTTTTTTCTGTGTTTTTAAAGAAGTGCTCCCGGTCAGAAGGAGCGGGTTAAAGCAGGCGGTCGGAGCGGGACAGGTGTACGGCGGCTAGCTGTTAGCCTGGTTAGCTATCGGAGCTAAGCCCGGGAGTTTAGGGCTCCATTTCCGCGCTCAGCCGGTCCCAGAGGAAACGCTCCGTAGAGACACTCTAATGGTCCCTAAAGCGACACACAGAAATACCAAAAGACCTTCTAGTAGTTTGGTTCTCCATGAACCAGAGAGTTCGTTCAGAAAGCAGTGGCTTTACTGGGAAACAACCGCAGCTAAACGGTTAATAATGATGTGTTTGGATTTAGTTTGAAACTCGGTGGAACATTTTTCCCTAGACGACGATGAATGGAGCGTTTGTGGAAAACCTTTTAATCAACTTGTCCGAAGTGAAGATGAAGAGTGTTCAGCTGTCTGCCACATGGCAGCCATATTGGATTTTAGTGAAGTGGAACCAGAAGTTTCCCACTGAAGGTCCACCTTCATCTACCTGCTATATGAGATGTTACCTGCTACAAAATGTTAAGGAAGCAGGATTAAAACAGCATTAAATGGGCCGTTAAATAAGGCAGACAGTATAAATGTCTTCTTTTTGTTTTTTGTACATTAAATCAATGGAAAGTGTAACTTCTGTGGTCAAACTGTCCACCATGACTGAAAGACTGATGAAGGAAAGAAACCATTTTATCCATAGAGGTGGATTATTAAAGAAAAAATAAAGCCCCACACTGAAAAATAAACATACAGAGTCTAAATAAGAACAAAACCTATATATCTATAAAAATATATCCTTCTTACCTTTTTTCACTTTGGGATTTTGTGGGAAAAACTGAGGGGAAAAAATATGATTATGTTTGACATCAGTGTTATCAATCCCTGATATGTGCTGCTGATTCTTGGTGACAGTGTTGCTTTAATTTTCTTCATTTAAATTATAAAAATGACACAATGATGAAAACAGATTTTCCAATTTAATCAAAAAATAAATAATTATTAAAAAAAATAATCAAACAGTTTTAACTGTTGATGGCAGATGTAGGGAGAAGCATTGCTTCATGTGACCTTCTGCTGCTGAAAGCATTAAATAACTTGAATAATAATCATTGATCATTTATCTCACATTGGAGAAGTTCACTCTGCATTTAACCCCTCCCCATGGGGAGCAGTGGGCTGCCATTGTGCAGCACCCGGGGAGCAGTGTGGGGTTAAGGGTCTTGCTCAGGGACCCAGAGTGCAGGCTGTGGGGATCAAACCGGGTACCTGGAACCTTCTCAGAACACAAGTGCACTGCTCTAACCACTAGGCCATCACTCTCCCGATGGTGAACGCATGCCTATATTCAGGATAACAGGAAAAAAAGTTTTTGTGGTGGCTGATTTATCTCTAAAATGCAAAAAGAATAAATAAAAGGGAGCAGAACAAATTAGCAGATCTTTTTTCTTTCTGTAAGTTCAAACTTTATTTGTTTCTTGGAAAAAGCAAAGAATGAGAGACATGATTCAATTATCTCCATTTAATTGTCACTTTTTATCAGTTGCTGATATTTTAAAGTTTTATGCTAAAAAAGTAGCTGTTCTACTGAAACAATTAATTGTATTAATCCATTATTAAAATAATAATTTAATTTGATAATCAAAGATACAGATGGTAAAACATTCAGGGAGAGAACAACCACTGACGGCAGAAATGAAGCTTATTGTAAATATGCTCTAATCAGAGCATGTGGTTCTGAGTATTTATTTTAGCTGTTAATGATGCATTTGAAATTTAGATTTATCTATTTATTTGACAGTACATTAATTAGCATTCCGGCAAATTCACCAGAATTAGCCTAAAGGCTATTTTTCATCTGTTGTCCCTAGAGAGATCCTAAAATTGTCTACCTTAGAAAAAACACAACAGTAAGCATTTTACAAATGTACAAAAGTTCTCTGCTTTCTTGAGTGGAAATGCTGGTGAATTGACTAAAGCGTCCGATTGTTGCGAAAAATCTAAATTGCAATTATTATTAACCACAATTGCGGTTTTTAATTTTTTGATTTCCTTTGCACTAACTAGGGCTGGACGATATGAGCTCAAAGCAATGCTGCCATAAATTGGGCAGTTTTACTTCAATAACGATAAATGCTCCTCTGTCAGACATAAAGGAATGTGCAGGAAATGCATCTGGGCTATTTATAATTTACTTTTTCTGTAAAACACATTATATATTTTAATTAAATATGAAAGCCTTGTACCTATTCATGTTTAAGCATTCAACCATGTCTCATTGAACAGGAGAAAAAAGTTTCCTCTCTTAAAAACATTTTTTGTGCAAAGATAATGGAGCCTTTTGCACATCTTAGAACGCCGCAGCGTGTTTGGGCTGTAGGTGGAGGTTGGATGTGTTACTGTGGGTAGTCCCCACAGTTTTCAGACAAACTTTGCATTTCGTGTTCTTTTGCTCAACATCTATTAGGGGTGTAAATAGTAATGGTTTTGTATCGATGCATCAATCCAACAGCCAATGATCCGATGCATCGATACGTCCGCAAGAGAATCGATTCATGTTTTATTTTTATTTTTATTTTTTTTTTCTGGTCTATTTTTATCAATTTGCTCCTGGGCGTAATTCTCCTCCCGTCCTGCGGCGGCGCTAAACCTATTGTGCCCTCCTACCTCTCTTCCTGGCTATACTCTTACAGCAGTGTGTTGCAGTGAGCTTGATGCAGACATTTTTGATTTATGCTCAGTATTGAAGCGTGGTCTGTGCTACACGCTGTGGGTCTAGATACGGCCGAGGCGGCGAGGAAGTTGGGGCGAGTTTAGTCCGACGACGGAGGGACATGAGGGCCAAAAAGAGCGGAGATCTGAACATGTTGCTTGATTAATCCATGCTGAAAAGCACAAAGATGGTGGATCATTTTTCTCTTTCCTTCCCCACAGCGAGTTCTTTGAAAGGACCATCCTCTGTAACAGCTTAGTGTGGAGCTGTGCACTGACGGGGCGAGCGGGCCTCACCTACCTGGAGGCTGTGGAGAGCGAGCGACGGGCCAGGCATAGTCTGCAGAGCTTCCCTCAGGCCCTCGTAGTGCCGCTGCTCCACCTGGCCGCCCTGAGCCGCCGCCGCAGGCTGTCAGAGCTCTGCGAGGATGTTTACGCCTTTGTCAAAGATCGTTTCTTCCCGGGAGAAACGGTGGACGTCAGCGGGCGCAACGGAGCCAGGTAAAAAAACGGGTCATCCACTTTTCCATCATGTCCTGTGCTGGAAGCGTTGGTCTCTCCTCCTGGAGGAGGTGTTAGAATGTTCTGGAGATTCTGCAGAATAAACTTGGAGGAAGAGTTTCCTCCTTTCAATCAACCTCTATATCCAGACGATGAGATGAAGCCGGTTTGAAGCAGTTGGGCTGTTATCGGCTTTGCTGACGCTGAATACTGTGTGTGTTTCAGGCGGGTGTGCGAGATTGTGCAGGTTCTCTCGCCTTCGTCATTTTCTAACAGAGCGCCACCCCCCGTCAGCCAGAGCAAGCCGGCGGACAGCGACACCATCGTCATCAGCGACAGCGACGATGAAAGGGACGTCTTTGAGAGTCCCACACAGCTCAACGGGTTGGTAGATCCAAAACACCTGAAACCAGTTCCACACAGTCCACTGGGCAGAGCCTAGGACTCCACCTTAACGTACTGGTTTCATGGAATAACGAACTGGGATTATTTTAGAATGAACAAAGGGACCAGATTTGATCCACAGCAGACTATTGTTGGACACATTACCCTGAACCCATCAGCAGAGAGGAAAATAATAAAATCTGCAAAAAATATGAATAGTTTTTTTTTCTTAAAAAGAAATGATCGTTAGAACATGGAGGCCATCAGACCAGGTATCGACAACCTCAGTGAGATGAGGATGGACAGGAAGCGCTCATCCTGTGGCTGCATGTGGTGGAGGAGGAGTGATGATGCTGAGAAATGGTTTCGCTTTATTTGCTGATGACATCATATGATGTCACCAATTTCTCTTGGCTGTCTGACCAATCCGCTGCCAGTCACAGGGATGTTTGAACAGGAACCACAGAATACTCAGGAACAACTTGAACATAAAAAGCTGCTTAAAGCAGGAGACGTTGTCAGGATCAGGGCGGGGGGGCTCTGTTTAACTTCAGGACAGGCTGCAGAAAATGGTTTGAAGCTTTGAGGCACATTCTGAGGCTGAAACCCAAGGAAATGAATTTACTCAAGTAGATTCCTAAATCCACAGGACTTCTGTGATCGATTTCCTGTTTTATACTTTTTAATCATTTTAAAGGATGCTCACCTCCAGCTTCTGGTTTATGGTAGACAAACTTTATCATCAGAAAAGCTCCAGACTTGCGCACAGATGTCTGGTTTCTAAATCAACTAGACTGTGGTGCCATTGAGAAGTCATTGAATATGCAGTTACCAGTAAAGTCTGTTACTGGAGGTACTGGTTTATTGGGTTAGATGTCTTGGAAATACCAGTTTAACTGTTAGTGGTTCTTCAATTTATAGAAGTTGATTGAAGCTGAATGATCTATATACGTGTGTAAAGGAAGTGAAACGTAGAAGATTTTTCAAAATAAAATGCCCCATGAACTGCTTTAATGTCGTAGAGAAATCATATTTTAATATCAAATCATTCTGGCTTAAACCTGTATATAGATGTATTCTTTATCAGACCATATTTTCCCAAAAGTTAGAAAATTTCTATTCTTAAAAATCCTGTTTTTAAAATCTGTGTTTTTTTTTTTGTTTGTTTT